GGAGCAAAAAATCAGTATTGTAATTCAAACCCCAGCTCGGCCTGGGCCAAGCGGCCACTCACCAGTCTCGGTGTTCTCGTGCTCCGTGTCGGTGAGCGTGAGGTTGGAGTTGGCTCGGCTGGACAGGCAGGAGCTGCGGCCTGACCGGGTGCTGCGGGCCCACAGCCTCACGGGAGGGTCTGGGGACAGGACCGTGTCAGCCTCCATGTCAGCATCGGAGCTGGCCCCCATGGAGTAGCCGCAGTGTGGGAGGCCGATGTCGGTCCGGTACAGGGTCCCGTGAGGGGGTGTCACTTCCCCCAGGCCCAGCTCACGTAGAGTGAAGTTGGTCCCTGGGAAGAAACACAGGCGAGCTTGGTCAAACTGCAAAGAAGAGAGAGGCCTCCCCACCCATTAGCCTGAGCCTCCCATGCCGGGATGCACCATGGTTCTGCACCAGGCTCGTGCCTTTGCTCATGCTGTTCCCTCAGTCTCTAGTGCTCTTTGTGCTCCCCGCTATCAGCCGGATTCTCTGACCCAACTCCAATGGCATTGCCTCTGACGTCTCCCTAAGACCCACTCGCTGTGAAGCCTTTCTTCCTGCCATCTCCCCCACGCCCAGAAGGCGCCGAGTGCATATCCCTTAACAGCACACAACCTCACCAAAGCCAGGGACCATGTTTCGTTCGTCTCTGAATCCCTGCACCGAGGACAAAACCCCAGGCTCGGCCAGGGCATCATTAGTGTTGGCTCAATGAAATCGAGCCTTCCGAGTGTCCTCTTCCAATCTACGGAGAACTTCCTGGACAGGAGCACTCCTGAACAGAGCCGAGCCGAGCTGAGTCCGTGGGCCAATAGCTCCCTGGGCCAGAAGTTCCTTCCCAGCCAGGCCAGGAAAGCCCAGGGGATGAAGGTGAAGAAGCTGGTGAGTGAGTGGCAGAGAAAAGATGGCCTTGTTCATGGGAAACAGGCCATGCCTTCCACTGCCTCACACCAGGTGGGGGTAGGACAGGTAGACTCTGGAGTAGCCCAAGGGGGCTCCCCTATAGCCAAGGCTGGGCTGCTGATGACTGGTCTCCCTTGGGCTCTCTGGGAAGCTTGGCAATGCCGGAGACTGAGGCACTGGGAGCACAGGAACTAAACCAGTTCACCCAGTGACTGATATTTCAGTGACAGAAAACTGACTTCCTTGGGAAAGCGCAGTCTTGGGTTCCTCCCAGATGTGCAGGCATTGTCTATTCAGGGCTTCCCCCATGTTTCTGACATTCCCAGGAGGGTTTGAGGAGGGGGGATGGTGAAAAGAAGGGGGTGGACTAAGGCTCAGAGGGCCATGTCCCAATTAAACCCATGGGTTAGCTGAGAAATGGGTTTATAGCCAGGTTGTCTGCTGTGCCTGCAGGTCATCCAGTCAATTCTACCTGCCGCAGCTCCAATGCCCCTAGGGCTGCAGTTCTCAATTTGTGGGTCGAGACCCCTTTGGGAGTTGAACGACCCTTTCACAGGGGTCAACTAAGACCATACTTCCAATGGTCTTAGGAACCGAGACACTGCTCCTCTGTCCGTCTGCAGGCAGGTCCGCCCACATGCAGATACGCCCACATACAGGGTCACCACAACATGAGGAACTGTGTCAAAGGTTCGAGGCATTAGGAAGGCTGAGAACCACTGCCTTAGGGGTTTCTTGGCTATAATCCTTGCAGACAGAGGTTTCTAGGTCTTTCTCCCGCAGAATTGTTCCTGGAGGGTCCGAATCTTTGATCTTTCAGTTAGAGGTGGAGGGCCTAACCATCCCACCATCTAGGGTCCTTGATAGTTAGGGAAAACGTACATTTAAACCAGTTCAGCAGGTCTTTGTTGGGGGACAGCAGTGACCATCAGGGTGACTGTCTTTACAGAGCTTGTAGTCAAGTGGGAGAGACACACCCAAACGCACAAACTAGAGGTTAAAGGGGTTCAAGTCAAACTGGGCTGATCCTTGCGCATGGCTCTGGGAGGAAGACGGGGAATGTCTGTGTGGAGAAGCCAGAGGAGAGCCTTGTGGGGGAGGGGGAACGTAAGAGGAGGGGTACCTGCCTGCCTGCGGTTTAAAGGGGTCTGGCAGCCCAGGAGACAGGACTCTGCAGGACAAGTCAGCAAAGGAAAGCAAGAAGGAAGTACAGAGGGGTGGGCGGGAAGTGACAGAGAAGGTGTCCTGTTTGAATCGTGAGTGTCCCTCTTCT